TTTAACATTTTCTTTGACAGATAAGTCGATTTCTTTCATTGTATCTTCCACACCTGAGATTCTTTCTTCCATCTCTTGTAGTCTGTTGGTTATGCTTACCTCTGTAGTTCCTGTTTGCTTCCCTAAATTCTTCCTCTCCATTATTTCCTCCTTTTGTGTTTTCTTTAATTTTTCCAATTCTATCTTCAGATCTTGAGTTGTTTTGTTTACTTCCTTCACCTGTCTGATTGCATTTTCCTGTTTTTCTTTTAGTTCCTTCAACTCTGTTTCTTTTATTTCTTTCAGTGATTTAATTATTTCTTCCCTGAAGGCTACAAACTGTTTGGCTCCATCTTCCCATATTTCTTCATGGATGGCCATAATCTGCTTGTCTTTAACTTCCTCCACTTCTTTATGGATAGCCATGATCTGTTTGATTTTATCTTCCTCTAATTCTTTACGTATTTTATTTATTTCCTCTATTATCCTCTTCATCAGCATAGATATAATAAGGTCATCTTCTTGATTTTCTATTATGCTGGAGTGTCCAGGGCTGCTTGTCCCTGGATGGCTGTGTTCTGGAGATGCTGTATTGTTCTGCCTTTTGTTGTTTGAGCTTTTACGCTGACATCTACCCATTGGGCTGTTTTAGGTGTTGGCTGTTAGTTTCTGGTGCTTCCTGGAGTCCTGAGGTAGGGAGAATCCCCTTGGCTGGAAGATGATTTTTCCTGAAAGAGGTCTCCTCTGCTTTTTGGGTATGGTCACTGTATGGCCAGTGTTTTTCAGGTATTGCCACTGCTCACCTCAGGCATATAGACCTGAGTAGTAGCTGTGGTCTTTGTTAGTCCGGGGGACTCTCCTCTCAGCTCAAGACAGCTGCCGCACTGCTGGGTTTCTCCTTGCTCTGAATTTAGTGAGCTGCTGCTGTTACAGTTTTCCAGGCACAGCCCTCTTGAAGAACCTGCTAATTCCCTAGCTGTAGGGTTTTCTCCCAACAGGGAAACTCAGTCTGGTACCCTGAGGCACACAGTTCTGTCTGAGAAGGTGAGAGGAGCACCCAGCAAGTCTCTGGGCCAGAGGCTGAGTGCTCCCCTCTGGGCTGGGAGATTGTGCACCCAAGTTTGAGCTGGCAGTGGGGACGCTGCTCTGGTCTGGGGACTGTGCACTCCTCTCTAGGCTGGCAAGTGAGGGCCACTCTCTGGTCTGGGCACGTCACTCTGTTCTGGAAGCTGTGTGTTCCTGTCTGGGATGGCGCCTGGGGGCGCTGCTCTGGTCCAGTGGCTGTGCACCCCGGTCTCGAATGGCAGTTGCAAGCACCACCCTGGTCCGCAGTCTCTGTGCTCTGATCTGGGCTGGCAGTGTTTGTCCCCTCCTGAGCCAGAGGCTGTGCACGCCTCTCTGGGCTGGCAATTTAGGGCTCTGCTCTTGGTTGAAGCCTTGGCGCCTCACTCTGGGCTAGAGGCTGTGCCCTCCTGGTCTGATACGGTGGCTGGGGTGGCCGATCTGGGCCCAAGGCTGTGCGCGCTGATCTGGGCTGGCAGCTGTGCGCCCAGCTTTGGCCAGAGGCTATGCACTCCGCTCTGGTCTGGAAGCTGAGTACCTCACTCTGAGCCAGGGGCTGTGTGTCCCTGTCCTGCCTGGGGCTGCCGCAGGAGGCTGTGTGTGCCAATCTCGGGCGGCGGATGCACCCGCTGGTCCCCAGGACCTTTACCAGGTATTGACTGGGTGACCTGAGGTCGGTCCCAATTAATTTCCACACCATAGGCTTTCCTCCCACCTGGCAATTACAAACGCTGTTTTTTTAGGTCCCTGAGTTCAGTCTCCTGGTTGCTGGGTCAATACTGCTGTCCAGTTCCTCAGACACAGTGTCCTCCCAGCGCTGCCATCTTGTCGCTCCCTCTATTATTATGTTTTGTCTTTTTATGTTTTCTTGGATTTCTTGGACGGTCTGTGTCAGGAATTTTTTTAGATTTAACATTTTCTTTGACAGATACATCTATTTCTTCCATTGTATCTTCCACACCTGATATTCTTTCTTCCATCTCTTGTAGTCTATTGGTTATGCTTACCTCTGTAGTTCCTGTTTTCTTCCCTAAGTTCTTTCTCTCCACAATTTCTTCTATTTGTGTTTTTTTTAATTTTTTCAATTCTATCTTCAGATCTTGAGCCATTTTGTGATTTCCTTCACCCGTCTGACTGTATTTTCCTGTTTTGCCTTCAATTCCTGTAGCTGTTTGTTTGAACAATCCTCTGTTTCTTTTATTTCATTCAGTGATTTAAGCATTTCCTCTCTAAAGGCCACAAACTGTTTGGCTGTAACTTCCTGTATTTCTTTATAGATGGCCATAATCTGTTTGTTTTTATCTTCCTCTATTTCTTTATGGATGGCCATAATCTGTTTGAGTTTATCTTCCTCTAGGTCTTTACGCATTTTTTTCCTCTGTTATCCTTTTCAAGAGCATAGATGTTAGGTCATCTTCATTTTCATAATTGAAAATGAATTTCAATTACGCTGGGGTGTTCAGGGCTACTTGCCCCTGGATAACTGGGTTCTGGAGATGCCATATTGCTCTGTCTTTTGTTGGTTGAGCTTTTATGCTGGCCTCTACCCATTGGGCTACCTTAGGTGTTTGGAGTTAGTTTCTGGTGGTTCCTGAAATCCTGTGGTAGAGAGAATCCCCTTGGCAGGGAGGTGGTTTTTCCTGAAGGAAGCCTTCTCAGCTTTTTGGGTATAGTCACTGGATGGCCGGTGTTTTTCAGGAGTTGCTGCTGCTCACCTCAGGCATAGAGACCTGAGTGGTAACTGTGGTCCTTGTTAGTCGAAAGGGCTCTCCTCTCACCCGGAGAAATCCTAAAGATAGCTGCCCAGCTTCTGGGTTTTTTGCTGTAAATTTAGTGATATGCTGCTGTAACCTGTGTGTCCCATCATTTGGTCAGTTTTGTTAGGGATAACTGGTTGTCCCTTGCAGCAGTATCTGGGGGTTGATCCCGGGGATTCTGGGCTCCTGTAGGTCTGAGTTTGGGGCTCTGTGCCCCAATTCCCAACTGGTAATCTGTGGCAGGTGGGTACTGCTCTCCTGGTAACAGCAGGCTATCTGGTGCACAGCAGGTCCCTGGGTTGGGCAGGTCTGCGGGTCCTCTGCCAGGGATATACTGGGTGGCCTAAGTCAGTCCCCTTTGCTTCGTTCCCTTTGAGGATTTCTCCTGACAGTGACTCCCAGTCTCTGGTGCCCTGGGGCGCACAGCTCCGTCTGTGCTGGAGAGCTGGGCTTGCAGCAATTGTCTGTGCTCTCAGCTGGAGCCCAGTTCAATGATGGCGGCTCGTACCCGCCGGTCTGCAAGACTTTCCAGGGAAAGACTGGATGACCCAAGTCACTTCTGTTTCCTTCCTTCCCTGTGGGGCTTTCTCCCGAAAGGGACTCTCAGTCTCTATTGCCCTGGGGCGCACAGGCACCAGGAGCCCAGTTCAGGGATGGCGGCTCATACCCATGGTCTGGGAGACTTTTTCCAGGGACTGGGTGACCCAAGTCAGTACCGTTTCCTTCCTTCCTTGTGGGGTTTTCTCGAGACTGGGACTCCCAGTCTCTGGTGTTTTTTGTGCCCACCAATCAGCCTGGGAAGGTGATCAGGACAGGCAGGCGCTAGTGCCTGTGGGACCCGGGATCTCTTCCAGGTTCTGGCTGGTTGACCTGAGCGTGGACCCTACTGATTCCCACACTGTGGGGGTTTCCTCTCACCTGGGAAACACGATTGTTGTTGTTCTAGAGCCCAGAGTTCAGTCTCTTGGTCGCTGTACAGAAAATGTTGTCCTGTTCCTCAGACTCAGTGTTCTTCTGGTGTCGCCATCTTGTCCTCCCACATCTTATATATTAGTTTCCAATTTTGTGGGGGGTTCTTTGTTTTGTTTTTAGTGTTTGTGTATCTGTGTCTTTCTTGTGATTTCTTTTTTTTTAGTTTAAAAATTCTTGTTTGTTTGCTATAGAGATAGATAGATAGATAGATAGATAGATAGATAGATAGATAGATAGACAGACAGACAGACAGACAGATAATGGAATCAGTTAGGTAAAGTCAGGATGGATCAGACAGGAGGTGCATAAGAAGAAATCATAATTAGAATGTATTTTTTAAAAAATTCTTTGGAAGTTATTCCAAATTGCTTTCATTGTTGGTCCTTACTATAGGACTGATAGTTTTTGGAGAAGACATATAGGAGTTGGTTGTTGGTTGGGTTTTTTTATATTATGCTATTTAAAGATTTATTTATTCATTATTTTATGCATATGTATGTGCCTGAGTATATAAGTGATGTATCATGTTTTGCATGGTCTGCAGAGGGCAGTATGAGATGTGGGATGCTGGGAACCAAACACATTTCTCTGGAAGAGCAGAAAATGCTCTTAACTCCTGAGCCACCTTTCCTGACCCATTTTATTGCTTTAAGTTCAGATTCCCTTTCTCCCCCAACATTTTCCCTTGGTGTGCTGCATTTCCTGCTCAAGGGCTTATCTTTTCACGAGGGCTGAGATTTTCAACAGAATATAATCATAGGTACAGGAAAGAGTCTTTTCCTACATGTTTCAAGACCAAATTGCAGCAGTCTCATCCTCTATGTGACTTGGCACTCTGTAGACACCTGACTGATGCCTACTGTATACACACCTCTATCCTAGGCAATACAGGGATCAGATGAAAGACATGATGTCTGTCTCAATAACCCCCAAATTTCCATTTACCAGGTAGTCAGATTTTCATATGTTTGGGACATTCACTTAGAAGAGAGAAAGAAAGAGAGAGAGGAGAGAGAAAAGGAAGAAAAAGAGAAAGAGCAAGAAAAAGAGAGAGAGACAGAAAGAAAGAGAAAGAAAGAAAAGAAAGAAAGGAAGGAAGAAGAAAGAAGAAAGAAGGAAGGAAAGAAAAGGAAGAAGAAAGAACAAAAAGAGAAGGAGAAGGGACACCTCAGTACAATTTATGACTTATCTGATGTTTTCAGGAAGCTGTGGCAGAAATGGCTCTCTCACCTGGCCTGAAGCTCCAGAGTTCTTTCTTTCCCAGACACTTGGAAAGTATGTGGATATTCTTCATTGTGAGTCTCCACAATTTTCATTCCATCAATGCCAACTCTGGTTCGAACTGTGAATTTTGAACCCACCAAGCTGAATCTGGGTACACAATACAGCAACATGTTGTTGAACTGCCAAGAGACAATACGAATTAATAAACAGGAAGATAAAGGAATTAAAGTCTGATTATTGTAACTCTGGACAGAAATGCCTCTGAATTTTTTACTAATAATATGACATTTCTCTCTTTCTCTCCATTGTCTTGCTGTATAACCAGGATAGGTCTTGAACTCCCAATCCTGTCTTATACTTTTAAGTGCTAGGGATATAGGCATATATTACCACACTTAGATGTTTTCTTAGAGTTCAATAAAATATTCATTGAACAAATGCATAAGAAATGAGGTAAAGGTGACTGAATTGTGAGATAAACAACATCAAATATTCAGAAGTTTGTCATATAAAAATGAGGACTCATTTAGCATTTCTTTATAAGGTAGAACTTCAACCAAGGGATAAATGTAAGTAACCACTAGGCTCCAGGAGTCACACAAAATATATTATGTGTCTGAGTAACTTCCTTCTCCACATAATATACTTTACACTTTTCCCTTCTTCCAAAATGATACATAAGAAGGTGATACTTCCCATGAGTTTTATTTTCATAGTACACTCTACATTGCTAGCAATGAATATACTCAAACTATCAGAAAAAACAATGTAAGCTCCAACAGACACTACTGGCACTGTTTTTGGTTGCACATCAGAACGACATGGTAAGACCCTGTTGCTGAATACAACATATATTCTGGATGCAGGGTGTAGCGAAATTGAGAACTAAGCTGGAAGCTTTCTCCTCATTGGTTAGCTTTTATATTACTGGAAGTATTATGCAGGTTGCTGAGGACAGAAGTATTCAATGGTCTAATTCCCATGTGGACTTTGTGAGCTATACCACCAACCTGTCAGACAAGATGTGCCTACTAATGCAATAGTGGAATGATTGCTATAGGGGAACCAAGTGCTTTCCGCTTGGATTTGAATTCTACAAGAAGGAAATTAGTCAAAAAACGATGTAGTACTTACTACTGTTGTACAAGTCATCAAGCTCATTTGTAATTATTTATGTTATACATAGATATATGTATATAAACATAGACATAGACATGGACATAGACAAAAGCTACTTTCTGCCCTGATCAAAGAAGCTTCTCTTTGTAGTGAATGCAGATATTTGTGCCTGCTCAAAGTGCTGAAAATAAATGACTGTTGAGAGTTCAACCCTAAATAGATACCTGTATCCATCTCCTACTCCAAGGCTCAGAGAAAATCACAAAAGAGGGAGAAAAGAATATATAAAGCCAGGGGACAGAAAAGACTTTCTTGAAATACAGTCTTCGGGACATGATTTGGCTGCGACACTTATAAACTCATAGAAGTTATAGGTATCTGCATAAGACCTGCATTAAGATGACATCTGCTTAAAATACCATGCATGGTCAAAGAGGAGTAATTTTCCTCAGTTGTAGAGTAATCTATACTCCAGTATATAATTCCCTACTCATACTTATCTAAGAAACCCTAATCAGGTCACCAGAAAGATAGAGAGAGAGCTGCTGGAAAGGAGGGTTTCAGTTTCAAATGAGCAGCTAAGAGAGGATAGTAGGGATTTAACATGATCAAAATATAAATGAAATAGTATTAAGAATCTTAAAAAAAAAACCCAGTAACTTTTATTTGTTCCTCAGCTATCTTTCTACATTCCATATTAATGACTTTTTGGAAAGCAGAGGAAAAGACAGCATATTCTCCAAAGTTTTAGTCACACTCCCAGTGCCCCTGAGGATACTCTTCTTCAGACTCCAGTCAGTGGTGAGAATGGGAGTGTGGTGTGTATAGTAGCAACTCCTCTTCTACACAAAGTAGGAGGGCTTATGCTAAGAACCACTAGGAAATATAAACTGCAATGCTGATAGAATCCGAAGTACAAGAGACTTGTTTCAATAATTTTCAGCACAATGTTTAATATATAATATACTTTATATATAAATATGTATACTTGATATTATATATGTTGTTTATTACATACTCAATAAGAAATCTGGAGCTGCTTGCTCTATCCAGTAAACTGAAGATAAAAACTGTAATGTCTGTATTTGTCAGTGTACAGGATTCTGAAGGTGAATATTGATTTCAGAATGAGCTTTCAGGTTTAAAGGAAAGGTACATAGCTGACTAGCTAACTAACTGTTGGAGATTAGTGGAACTGGGGTAGTCTATGGTATAAGAATAACCTGCTAAAGGAAACAGGGCCCTTGTTTGGCTTTTGGGGCAGAACTGTGTAGAGTAGCTTGCTGACCTTCCTTTAATATACCTTTTCAGCCTCCTCTGCTGAGAAAGGGATCTGGAAAGCATCAACATTCACAAGTCTTAAAAAAAAATTCTAGCAATGCAGATGCTGAGACTTGTGGGCAACCTTTGGGCAGAGTGCAGGGAATCTTAGGAAAGAAGTGGGAAACAGTAAGATCTGGAGAGGACAGGAAATCCACAAGGAGAGCAACAGAACCAAAAAATCTGAGCACAGGGGTCTTTCCCGAGACTGCTGTTCCAACCAAGGACTATGCATGGAGATAACCTAAGACCCCTGCACAGATGTAGCCCATGGCAATTCAGTATCCAAGTGGGTTCCATTGTAATAGGAACAGGGACAGTCTCTGACATGAACTGATTGGCCTGCTCTTTAATTACCTCTCCCTGAGGGGGAAGCAGCATTACCAGGCCACAGAAGAAAACAATGCAGCCACTCGTGATGAGACCTAATTGACTAGGATCAGAAGGAAGGAAAAGAAGAGCTCCCCTATCAGTGGACTTGGGGAGGGGCATGTGTGCAGAGGGTGGAAGAAGGGAGGGATTGGGATGGGAGGAAGGAGGGAACCACCGGGGGATAAAAGTGAATAAAGTGTAATTAATAAAGAATTTTAAAAAATTAAAAAAAAATCTAGGAATAAACGTAATTTAAAAAGATGAAAGACCACACACACACACACACACACACACACACACACACACTTTCAATCTCTAAAGAAAGAGATGGAGAAAATGCTAAAAATGATAAGTCCTCTCATGCTCATGGATTGGTAGAATTTTGAAAATGAGCATTTTTTTCCCAAAGCGATTCACAGATTCCTCACAATATTCTTCATAGAAATGGAAACTAAATTCTAAAATTCATATGAAACCACAAAGACACCATACAGATGAATAAATACTGAACACAAAGAACAATGCTGGAGGGATTATCATTCCAGACTTCAAGATATATTACAGAGTTATAGTAATAAAAACAATATGATACAGGCAAAAGCAGACATATAAACCAAGTGAAAATAGAAGATCCAAAATTAAGTATAGATATCTACAGCCATTTTACAAAGATGCCAGACAGTGAAGAAAACACAGCATTTCAACAAACAATGCTGGAAAAAGTAGATGTCTAATTAGAAGAATAAAATGAGACTCAAACCTATCACCCTGCATAAAAATCAGCTTCAAATGGATCAAAGACCTCATTGTGAAGCCTAAGTCAACGAAGCTGCAGAAGAAAGCAAAGACAGACCCTACAGGTACAGGACTGTGCATAGGACTCCATTAGCTCAGGAATTAAGGCCAAGAACTGACAAATGGGACCCTTCCAAGCTAATAAGCTTTTGTGTGGCAAAAGAAACAATCAGTTGAGTGAAAAGGAAGCCCATAGAATGGATGAGAATCCTTGCTAGCTGTATACCTAATAAAGGATTGATATCCATAATATTCAAAGGACTTGAAAAAAATGAAGAATGAAGAAAACAAATGACCCAACTTAAAAATGGGTAATGGATCTAAACAGAGTTCTCAAAAGAAGAAACAAACATGGTTAAGAAAATAATACCTTAAACAGTGGTTTATATCCTTTAGAATTAGGGACATGCAAATTTGAGATTTCACCTTACTCCAGTCAGATCAAGAAAAGAAATGCTGTTAAGTATGTTTAGAAAGGGGAACCTTCCTTCACTACTGTTGGGACTGCTAACTTTTGCAGCCACTATGGAGATCAATGAAGAATTCTCAAAAAGCTAAAAGGAGACCTATTATAGGACCTGGTTAACCACTCCTTGCCGTATGTCCAAAAGAATCAACATTTTATTACATAGCTAATTTTTGCTCTATTCACAATAGCTAGGATATGGTACATATACAGAGTAGAATTCTATTCAGTTGTAAAGAAAAATGAAATAAAATGCTTCCAAATGGATGAAACAATATATTATACTGAGTGAAGAAACCCAGACATGACAATGCAAATTCACGTGTTACTTATCTATCTGTGGATCCTAGATCTGAATCTTTAGATGTTGAGTATGTTACCTGGATGTCTTAGTTAGAGTTTCTATTGCTGCAATAAAACACCATGACCAAAAGGCAGGTTGGGGAGAAAAGGGTTTATTTAGCTTTCACTTCCAGATCATACTACATCATCGAGGGAAGCCAGAACAGGAACTCAAGCAGGGCTGGAACTTGGCAGCAGGAGCTGACACAGAGGCCATGGGTGTGTTTGTGTGTGTGTGTGTGTGTGTGTGTGTGTGTGTGTGTGTGTTTGTGCATGTGCTGCTTACTGGCTTGCTCAGACTGCTTAGTTAGAGAACGAAGGACCACCAACCCAGGGATGGCACCACCCACAATGGGTTGGGCCCTTCCCCATTGATTGCTAATTGAGAAAATGCCTTACAGCTGGATCGCATGAAGGCATTTTCTTAAGTGAAGCTCCTTCCTCTCTGATGATTCTAATTTGTATCAAGTTGACACACAAAACCAGGCAACACTCTGGAGAATCCACAGAAACAAAGAAACAAACAAAAAGAGACCGTGGTGGCAAGAAATATAAAGATGAGCAACAGGTAAAGACAGGCAGACACCGATTCTAAGAGTTCTGTCCAATAAAAAAACAAGTTTTTCTATTTGACATGTTTGATGCTTTGACATTTGCACATCTAACTGACACTGACACTTAATCCACAGTGCTTAATGGGAACACACATTCCTACTTAGTCAACTAGCCCAGAGGCAATACTCAAATACTCTATTAACCTGAACCATCACTCCTTACCCTCATCACCTCAAGGCCAGGTACGAGACAGAGACCCCTATACTTCAGACCCCACTGAAATTGCTCAGTCCAGGGATTCTAAGCCTTTTATTTGGTTCTTCTTGTTTCCTTTGTAAGCCATAAAGGCTCTTGATCACCATTGGTCTTTCTCTGCCTCTTCACCAATTCTATGGACTTCTCTGTTGCTCCTCTCCAAGGTAGGTACGGTTCCTCCCCTTGGAACTGGTGTTTCAATGGCAACCATGTTCTTATGTAAACAATAATGAAACCTACACTTTGTAATGAACTTCTGAATAGAACTTGGAACCCTGGTACGATTATTGTATGCTCTTGTTTCTTATTTTGCTATGTATAAAACTATAACCTAGGCAAAACAAAGTACTTCTGCTTGGCAAAAATGAGGAGTTTTTACAATGAACTTGGATAATATCTATAATTATTATTGAGTGGCTGGCCCAGAAAATATCTCCAATACTGCAATAGTGGTACTTTTATCTTGGAGGTAGCCAGCAGCTGTCTAACTGGACTCAAGGTCTACTTAATAGGAGGGAATTCATACCTGTAGCTCTGAACCTAGCCAACTACCTATAACTGGAGAGGTCAGAGACCCAAGAAGACTCTACTACTGTCATTTTCTTAAATAATATAATTTCTTATTTCTAAGTACATACAAAATCATTAGCTTTATATGCAAAGATAAGTATAGCTCTTGCTGCTCATCAAAAAAGTTTCTTTCTTGCAACAGATACAGTCTATTACAGACAGCCACAACTGCTCATGATGTGCAGAAAAAGCCCAATGGGTACATTTACAGTATTACCCCACACCCGAGATTCAGTGAACATCATGGAAGAGATGCAAGAAAGGCTGTAAGAAGCAAAGAGCCAGGATGCCTGCTACTCAATATTATCTTTACAGGGACGCTACACCAATGGCGTCTCAGTGATATAGTTACTTAAAACAAGATTTGCATAACAACAACATCAGTTGACAGGCCAATGTGGATGGAGAAAATTTTACAAGCTTCACCCCTTGATGAAGAGCTACTGACAGTCTGGCTGCTGAGAGAGAATCAGTTTCTGTCAGGAACAAGCTCCCTTTGGTTTATCCAATTCCAAGTGGTCAATTCTAAACACATATACATACAAGCTACACTAGCAGATGCAGTAGGTTAACCAAAGAAGTCACGAATTTATCCATTGGTGAAATAACAATTTTATTGCTTAGAATATACTATCCTTTGCTTTTGGATAGTAAAGATACCTGTTTTTGAATTTTTTTGAGTTAACAATCTTAGAATGAAATAATTGTAGAAGTGGGTGAAGAGAGGAAACTGGGCAGGAGATGGAATGTGGAGGGAAACAAGGGTGGGGATTAGATGTGGGGAGAATGGGGATGGGAGGTGAGAGGGTTGGGAACAAGAAGGGAAACTGGGTGGGGGAGGCATCTCTTTGTCAAGCTGGAGGCCTGTGACAGGGTAGGTGCCTGGGAGGACATGGGTGTGATTCTAGCTGAAACTCCTAAGGGGGGGGGGCATGAAGACTGACCATCTCCTAGCCAGGCAGGACTAGAGGAAGGAGGGGAACAACAACCCACCAACAAAACCTGTGAAGCAAAAATAGTTTGCCTACAAGAAGTATAAGGAGGGAACAAAGATAGAGGGAAAGTCCAACCAATAATTGGCCCAACCTGAGACCCATCCTATGCTAGAGAGCCAGCCCCTGACACTAATAATAACACTCTGTTCTGCTTTCAGACAGGAGCCTAACTTGACTGCCCTCTGGGAGGCTCCAGCCAACAGCAGATACAGATGGGGAGCTTGCAGACAAGCATGGGCAGAACTCAGAGGGTCCTGAAGGAGTGTTGGGGGAAAGACAGAAGGACCTGGAGGGAACAGGAATCTCACAAGAAGAACAACAGAGACAACTAACCCAGTCTGATGGGGGCTTTCAGAGACTGAGACATCACCTAAGGAGCATTCATGATCTGAACCTAGACCCCTTGCACACATGTAGCCGACAGGTGGCTTGGTCTGCAAATGGGGTACCTGGTGAGTGGAAACAGCTGTTTCTAACATGGACTCTATTGGCTGCTTTTGGATCACTTTCCCCTGGCAGGGCTGCCTTGCCTCAGGGGATGAAGATAAGTTCAGTCCTGATGTGACTTGATATGCTGGGGAAATGTAATGTAGGAGGCTCCCCTTTTCTGGGGGAGAAGGAAGAAGGGAAGGGAAATGTTGGGGGACTGGGAGGAAAGGAGGGAGGGGCACCCTCGAGATAAAAAGTAAATAAACTAATATAAAAATTTTTTAAAGTCATGAATTGATCCATTAGTGACATAAGAATTCATTGCTTAGAATATACTATTCTTTGCTTTTGTATAGAAATGTTTTTAAGTTAATGATCATAGAATGAAATAGTTGCATAGTGTGGCAACAAAATGTTCTTTAAAAACAAACAAACAAACAAACAAACACACAAAACCTGTGAGTCTGTTGAAATGGCTCAGCAGGTAAAGAAGCTTTATATCAAGCCTGACAAACTGAGCTTGATCCCCAGAATCCACATGGTAGAAGGAGAGAAATTCCTCCTGTAAGTTTTCCTCTGACCTTTACACACAATTATGGTATGGATGTGTAGACACACACACACACACACACACAAACACATAACCAGCCATATACTCACACATCCACTCTCTCTCCTTCTCTCACTGACCCCCACATATACTGATCCACACCCCCTACTCACACACACACACACACACACACACACACACACACAAACATACATATTCACCCCACCCCCATTTCTCCCCAACTCACTCCTAAAACTCAGTCCCAAACACACATAAACACACACACGCAATCTGTCTCTTTTACACACATGCTCCTCACACACATACTAACACAAACACTCACAAATAAATATATGTAATAAAAATTTTCAAAACACAGTGGGATATTAAAAATTCCTATGACAATCCCTATCATTTTTTCAAAGAAATATGTAAACCATTTTCTAGAATTTTTAAGCCTTGAAAACAACTTATTATAGATGATAAGATGAATGAATGCTTAGCATCAGGAAAGCAAGCCACTAGCCTGATCTTTACAAACTTAATGATCATAATGAATAACACTTGCTGAGTTCTTTTATTAGTTAGTTTATTATCTGTTAACCATTATTATGATGTTTCATCTTTTTTAGGTATAAAGAGAATTAGAATCCACTTTAATAACAAAGAATAAAGGTAATGTAGACAGAAACCGAACAAAAGAATTTGTCCACGTATGTCCCTACTTGAGGTAAGTCCTAGATGAATTGCCATCCTCAGAAAACTTAGGAAGGGTTGACTACGTAGCACACTCACATCCTTCTTCTATAGATATTGTAGTCTGGTGACTGTGGAGAGTTAGGGGACTACTGTCACAGCGAACAGTTGGGCAACAAAATCACGTCCACATGTTATAGAAAGGCTACCCTGTTTTCAGTACGCACTATTGCAGCTGACTAGCTAGAATGAAAGAAATATTCCATAGAGTTCTTAAGATAGTCTCCTATAGAAAATCCTGACAATGTTGACTAAAGCAGGGATGGATGTAACTATTTTGGAAGTAAGAAATTATGTCACTTCTCCAAGATACATACAGGAATTGTAGTGACCTGTTGGTGTGCAACCTGCTGACAATACTGTACTCACTAAGAAGAGGTAGCGCTCTTGTGCCGATGTGTTCCGAGCTGCTAGTTTAAGGATTTGTCCTTCTTTTATTAGTTCATTTGAGGGATTTACAATATCTTCTTCTTCTCCCAACATCTCATAAATCTCTAAGAGTTTCTTCAGGTTCTCCTGGGAAATTGAAACAAAACACAGCAAGATTAGATATAAGGAGATAATTTAAATTTAACTAAAATTAGTTAATAGATAGTAATAGTAGTATATTTTGGTATAAAATGTATCAATAAAGTGAATCCTAATAAAAGAGAATAGATTAGATAGTTGGTAAATATTCTTTTCTGCTCACATATATGTGCTCATTTTGGTCTAAATCTACAATAGCCAGAGGTTTTATTATCAACTATTACCTATCCAGAAGGTTCCTAAATCTTCTAAAAGACACTTACCATTTTTCTTATTGCACTATTAGAATGGCTTGCTGCTGTAGATATAATTTCAAGTGACTCTAAATAGAAAAAAGAAAAGTAAATAAATGTTTTGTCCTTCCTGTGCTACTTGAGAAGCATAAAAATAAAGCAAAGACAATGGAAATCATAGCAGTTTCCACTTACAGCCTCGTATGATGTTTCCATAAGTCATCTGTTAACAGTTTATCTAAATGTACAGGATATTTACTTGCAAAATGGCATATATGATGATTAGGTTCACAGGTACATTTAGTCTATCCTAGGCCTTAAAAATGAACTGCATTTACATTGTACATTAACCGACTCAAGCACTTTGCCAGGGTAATTTCATACACACAGCTATTGCACACTATCTGTCAATTTGTTGTGGGTCAAAAACAGCACATAGAAATTTCCAGAAAAAAAATTCCTAAGTTTAAAATAAATTTCATTATAGCATACAGTTAAAATTATTCTATTTTATTATATATTGTTAATCTCTAATTTACAAATTAAACCGTATCATAGGAATATGTAGGAAAAACATTACTATATGTAAAGTTTGATACTTCTAGCAATTAAAGGAGTTGCTGGAACATTTTGGAAAGTATCCCCTAAGAACCATCGTCTACCAGTTGGTGAGTTCTTTCATTTCCTTTTGCCACATTATAGAAATGAAGAAGTGATGTGACTTGGCTAGTTCCACACAGACATAAACCCCAGATCATATGATTCAAACTAGTGATGCCACACTTTTTTTACAAAACATAAACAGCTTTTTCTTTGGCAAAGGATGGCAGCCTGATTCAGATAGAGAGAGTCTGGGGACTTTTTTTTTTTTTTTTTTCTGGAACAGGTCTTGGGAGGAAAAGAAAAAGAGAGGTGTGTACTGTGGTGCTCCAGGGGCTAACGTGGAAGAATAGCGGGGGCAAAGGCCACTAACTGGCCAACCCGTGTAGAGCACCTCTCAGCCCTAAGTCATATAAACACAGCTCCATTCCTCAGACCCACATTTTCTGTGTTCTTTGCATTGCTGAGCAGAACATACTTTTGTTGCTTCACCTTATACTTTCAAGACTCTAACCTAGGACAAGAATGAATCTTAGACATAGAAGACTGGATAGTGAAACAATGCTGAACATAGGATTTAAATCATGCATTAGCTGTTCTGGTGGCCATAGTGGCAGCTCTATGCAAGGACCAACACATCTTTCTCTGTAAGAACTGTCCCTTACTGAAGGACTGCTCTGCACCCCGGAGAGGATGATTGAAGACGGCCCATCCACAGCCCCACTAAGAATGAGCTTGGCTTGGCTCAGTGTATTTTCTGCTTCTGGAGCTGGAAAATTGGGGAACCAGATGATAACCCAAAGAGGAACAGAAAAGATCAAGACCAAACATTCATCTAGGTGCATATTCCTGACTGTCAAAGAACAATTTGAAGAACTAACCCTCAGAAATTTTGAAACCAGACAAGGAAAGTACCAAGGACAAAACTGTAAAGGAAATGGATGCGCTCCAGGAGAAAGAAAGATCTCCTGCTGCAATGTGGCTGCTGTGGAGTTTGCCTCTCTCTACTGAAGTAATCTGGTTGCAAGTGACATGCCACTTCCAAGCAATGTTCCCCACTTTCCCCAGTACCTCTCAGGCATCTCTAAATAATATCTTAGGGAGGAATAACGCCAGTATTTAAAAACTGGATAATTAACATTATTTTTGCTTTCATCTGTAAGTATCCCTAGACTGTGCAGCTGGTGTTGCCCATCTTTTTGTGGCTTTGCTGTGTTGAGTCCTGCATTCAATGGCAAGGAGAAGAGTGAGTGAGGGGGGAAATGTCCTCATGAAGGGATCTGATCTGAGGGCCAGGGAACCCATACAAAGAATGTCTGTCTTTGCATTCCTGACACACTGTACAGGTGATATGTTCCATGTCCTGTGACCTGGTTGATTTATATGTTGGGCTCTGAAGATCAACTTGTCTTTCTAAACATGAATCTTTCTAAAGCAGGGTAAGAGGATAAGGTCACTTAAAAGGAAAAATACAGAGCATCTTTCCATGTTCCAGAACTACAGGGACACAGGCAGTTCTGTGTGTATGATATATAGGATGAGGCAGAGGCTAGAGCGCAGAGAGAGTTGGAAGGCCTATTTTTGATTCACCAGAACCTCAGCTGAGTTCCCAGGAAGTAATAAACCAGGGAAAGACCGTGCACCAAACTCATACAAACTTCACTGTGAAAAGGGTGAGAGAGGTTTCTGTGGTCACTAATTCATAGGAATAGTGGGAAAACAATAGAAACGTTCTGTGTTCAAGATGAATTGGGCTTTGAGTCCAAAAATCGTATTATGATCCTCATCACAGAAAAACACTAACTTATGAAAGAAGTTAAGAACATGTAGAGAAAAATATTTTAAAGATATTAGTATTATTAGTGTTTATCAAGTATTTAAGCCATAACTGTTAATTTTTTATTTATCTCTTTAATTTTTGAGAAGTTTTAAAAACTTGTATTAGAGGCCTGAAGGTACAACATTTTTTCCTTTCATCCTTCCTTCCTTTCTTCTTGCTTTCTTCCTTTTTTCTTTCTGAGAGAGTATTAGTATAATGTTCTTGTGGAATGTATACAATTTACCCTTGTTCATTCAAATACTTACTTCTATACCCCACTATCTGGTTTCAATCTGGACATTGCATTGTGATACTTCTTCTAAGCATCACCTGTCTCAAGTTTGTGTAAACATGTTACCATCTGTTCTTTGTATTGCCAATAAAAACAACCAGCCTGGAGATGGGCAATGAAAAGAATAGGGTAGGACATCCTGGTCCAGAGGGGAAAGAAGAAGCAGGTGAGAGAAGAGATCCAAGAAGGGAGGACTGGGAAACACCAGGATGAATGGGACCTAAGATAGGACTAAAAAGCAAGTATAATGTAGGAAATCTGAATGGGAGGAAGCTATGCAGATTGGAGTTAGGATGGAATAATTACTGCCCAGCATTGTGCTCTAGGTTAATTAAATTGTAGTCTCTGTGTAGTCATCTTTGGGTATAAAGATGGTTTAGGAATAACTGCTGTTTAACTAAAAGATAAATCAATATTAAATATTAATAATCATCAACAAGACAGGGTCACTATTTAGCCCAGTCTGGCTTGGCACTCATAGAAAGCCACCTGCCTCTGACTCCCTAGTGCTGAGATTAAGTGCCACTATGTACATATCAGAAAATGGTATGGAAATCTTTGGGCTCAATCTCTAATATCACAAAAAATAAAAACTGCATGAGAAACTAAAGAATTAATGAACCTTACTAGTCTTAAAAACTAGTCTTAAAAAACTTGCATTCTAATCTAATGAAATAATTAAGACAACCAACACAATTGAAATAAAGTTGTGGTTTTTGTTTTGTGTGAGACAGGGTTTCTCTGTGTAATCCTGGCTGTCCTGGAACTCATTCCATAGACCAGACTGGCCTTGAACTCAGAGATCTGCCTGCATCTGCCTCCTGAGTGTTGGGATTAAAGGCATTAATCCCAACTACTACTTTTTTTTTTTTTAGGAAAATGTTACTAGACAATAAAGCACCTTACTTATGTCCTATGCATGTTAGGGAGCAATGCTAACAGTTTAATTTACATAGTAAATGTCTTCTTAGCCTTTGCCAGCAGCACGTTCTTCCTATAAGAAGATAATTAGTCAATTACTACTCCAAACACTTCTAAGCCTATAGCTTTAGCTTTCACAGTTGGTGATGAACATGAATCCAGAATGGGAAGCATGATCTGCATTTCTCTAAATGGGGTGATCCTGACTTAAGGTGGAGTGCTCAGTTAAGGCGCTGATAACCATTTCCAGTGAGATGATTTTCTAACAGGAACACTTGATTAAAGCAGTTGTAAGAAGACACATCATTGAAAGCAAAGGACAGTCTGGCTAAATTATTAGGCTGTTGTTGAGAGAGAATAAAAGCATTTACTTTTTGCATCATTCCAGTCTGGGGAGTCCGGAGACAGCTTCTTCAGGTAGTCTTTCAGGAGCATCTCATAGCGAGGGATCCGCTGAATGGGCTCCAGCATATGGTGCTGCAGGGTTAAGTTTCCACAGATTTTCTGTTTCTGTAACCAGCAAGATTATATTTTTAAATCTTTTGTTACATTTATTTATGTATGTACTGAAGTCAGAGGACAACCTGCAGTATTCAGTTCTCTGCACCACATGGGTCCTGGGGATCAAACTCAGGTCCTTAGGCTTGGTGGCAAGTGCCTTTACTCACCGAGCTATCTCACTAATCCCTGTAATTAAAGTTTTGAAAATAATATTCAAAAATTAGGTTACCCAATCTAAAACCTTAGTGTCATCAATGGCAGTATTTTTCTACCATGGACACCTGCATTCTACATCTGGGGTGCTTTGAAAAATGCACATTTCTGAGTCCCAGCCATTTTTGAAATCACGTTGTTGGGGGACAAAGCCAGGGAACATGCATTTAAAAATACCCTAGATAGTTGCCTATATGATATAGAGATACTGAGCTTCCCTTCAAAGCTACCTTTCATTCTGGTTACTTTAAGGCAATTTGCCATGGTCAATGACCTCTTCCTGTCTTTCTGTCTCCCTATGGGACTCACTAGAACCCAGAACCCTCTCCACCAGGGACCCTTCTGCCTAGCCACTTGGCATAGAGACATTGGTAGGCTATGCACACTCCAAGCTCACAGATCCCCTTTATTCTGATAGGCCCATGGCTGCTTGCCAGAGATTTTATCCTTCTTCTGTCCCATCTCCTTCCGTTTGGGACTCAAGTCCTCAGCCTGCTCTTACAAGGGACTTTCTAGATAGCATATGTGACTGGAAGATCCAGGCTACCTCCTCCTTCAAGGCTTCCCAGAGCTTTGCTAGCTGCCTGCCTGGAACCCTGCAGGTATCCTCCACAGTCTTGAGATGCAGGACCAGTCTATATCACCAGCAGAACTTGTTACAAGCTCCTTACCACCAAACCACTGAAGGTGCCAGGCTACAGAGACCTGGGATAGAGAAGGTAGCCTCAACTACCAGACAAACAAAGGAAACTGACACTCCAATCTTGCCATAAATTTGTCTCCCATCTAAACATCATAAATATCCCCAATGAAAGAAGGTGACTGGAACAAAAAAGAAAAAAGAAAAACTCAATCAACTAACTCCAGATTCAAAAATCTTAATGCATAAATAAAACAATACACACACAAAAAAAAACCCCAAAAAGAAAACAAAAACAAAAAACAAAATAACATGTCTCCTCCCATAAATATAAATCCTATAATGATGACTTCTGTTGAAAATGATATGAAAGAGCTCTGAAGGAATTCAAGATAATGATTACAACTACGGTCAAACAACTGAAAAAAGACAAAGACAAAAAGATTAAATTACAACCACAAACTGACATAACACAGAGACAGTGGTTGATTTTAACACTTGACTCTCAGCAATACAACTAACAACTTTCTAAATGGAGAAAAACTCAAAGCATTTCCACTAAAGTAAAGCCAAGACATAAAAACAATTTGAATTTATAATGAAAACCAAAACTGAAATGATACTAAAAATGAATACTCTTATAGTTTATTTTGGCTTATGATTCCATGAGATTAAGAGTCCATGAAGAAAGAGTCTATGGTGGCCAAGAAGAAAGCAACCATAAGCAAGAAGCAGAGAGCTAGCTGGAAGTAGGTACTCCCCCTGTGATGTACTTCTTCCAGTAAGGCTAGACCACCTAAACCTTCCCCAAACAATGCCACCAACTGAGAACCAAGTGCTGAAATACATGAGAGACTATGAGAGACACTTCTCATTCAAGCTACCACAAACACTGAGAACAGTGAATAAAATAAGGTTACTGAAAGATGAAAGAGAGAAAGATCAAGTCATTTACAAGGGCAGTCCTACTAAAACATGATTATACGACAGAAACCTCTAAATCTAGAATATATCTGGTAAGATGTATTCCAAGTCCTGAAAGACCACAGCTATCAATCTAGGTTATTAAAATTAAAGACGAAATAAAAACTTTCTATGATAAAAAGATTAAAATAATTTATGACTACTAGAAAGACCTTAATACAGAGGCTACTAGAAGAAATACATCAATCTGAAGAGACGTATGAACATACCCAAGGGAACAAACAGTGCCAGGTCAAGTAATCAAAAGAGAGCTGCAAACATACCACAAAGTCATCAAAACAACAGGGGTTAATACATGTCATTCAACAATAACTCTAATAATGGTCAAAATTCCTTAATAAAAAGGCCCACATTAGCAGACTGGATCAGAAAACAGGGTTTTTGTTACTTCCCAGAAACATACCTCACTGTCAATGATAAAACACAACTTTAAGATAAAAGAATGGAAAAACATATTCCCAGTAAAAAACGAGCAGGCATAGCAATTCTAGTATCAACAAAATATACTCCAAAGAAAAACTAGTAAAAAGTGATAAAAGGAGGAAAATTTTATACTTAAAAAAAGTTCTATCAGCAAAATATTACAATACTAAACAAACATGCACCAAACACAGTGGCACACGATTTCAAAAAGAAACACTGTTAAAATTAAAAGCACAGACTGGCATAACACAGTGATGTAGTTAATTTCAACATTCTACTCTCACCAATACTATCAACATTTGCTAAATGGAGAAAAATTCCACTAAAATCAAGAACAAAATCAAGAACAAGACAAAAATGTCCTCTCTCTCTCTCCATCCTGTGCAACATAGTGCTTGAAGTCTTAGCTAGGTCTATTAAGACAAGTAAAGAACATACATTTGGAAAAAAGTTAAAATATCATTATTTACAGATGATATGATTCAATATACGAAGACCTTAAAGACTACATTAGAAAACTGCAAACAGCTAATGATGATTCAGCAAAGTAGCAGGATACAAATAAATACAAAGAAATAAGTAGCCTTCCTAAATATAAATAATACCTTAAGGCACTGAAAAAGGAGCTAAAGAAGATACCAGAAGATATAAAGACCTCCCATGCTCAGGAATTGGGGGGTTTTAATACTGTAAAAATGGGCATCTTAACCAAAAGCAACCTAAAGATTCAGTGTAATGAAAATACCAATATAATTCCTCACAGAAAATGAAAAAATAATCATATTTCATATAGAAATACAAAAGATAAAGCATAGCCAAAACAACCCTGAAGAATATATAAAATCTCTAGGTATCATCATCCTATACTTTAGAATTATTGTAATAAAAGGAACATGATGTTGGCATAAAAACAGAATCACTGGTCAATGCAACAGAACTGTAGACCCCCATATAAGCCCACACTCCTTAAGCCACCTGATTTTTGACAGATACACATCAAAGAAAAAGCAGCATCTTCAAAAACTGTTGTTCTTAAAACTGGCTACATTTACCCTCAACCTGCACAAAACTCAGTTCTAGTTGTATGAAGGACATCAACATAAAACAGGAAAGAGAGAGGAGAAAATAATGCTTGGACTTAGCAGTACAGGAAAGGACTTTCTGAACAGGATGAGGACAGCATAGACATTAAGACCAACAATTAATAAATAGAATCTCATGAAGCTAAAATGCTTCTGCATAGCAAAAGACACCATCATTCAGTTGAGGAGGCAGCCTACAGAGTGGGAGAAAACATTTACTAGCTCTACATCTGATAAGCTAGACTATACAAAGAACTAAACATTTAAAACAAACAATCCAATTAAAAATGGAGCATGAAACTAAACAGATTTCTCAAAAGATGAAATACAAATGGCTGAGAAAGATTAACAAACAAGTTCAACATTCTTAGCCACCAACAATGATAATCAGTTAAGTTGAGATTTTCTTATTTTAGTCAAAATGGCTAAGATTCCAAAATAAATAGTGACAAATGTTTGCATGGTGATGAGAAAGTGGAACACTTTCATTGCTGAGAAGAATACAAGCTGGTGTGGCACCATGGAAATCAATGTGGAGGTTCATCAAAAACCTAAAAATAGACCTACTACATGACCCAGTCATACCACTCTTGGGCATATACCCTAAAGATCCATATCTTACAACAGAGATACCTGTGCGTTACAGCCCACATGCTCATAAACTGCATAATGAATAGTAAAAGGGTGGCATGAAAGAGAAATGGCACGTTTTCTCTCATTTCTGGATCTTAGCTTTCAATATTTAGGTCTTGGTCTTTTCCCTCCCCTCTTCTCCTTCTCTACTTATGTCCCTCTTTCTCTGCTCTCTCTCCTCTCCTCCTCTCCTCTCTCTGTCTCTGCCTGTCTCTGTCTGTTTTTCTCTTTCTGTCTCTCATTCTCTGCCTGGCTTGAAAATGTGTAGCGCTATGAATGTTACCACAGTCCTATTGTATATGAAGGACACAGTTTCCTTTGTGTCATCCATCCCTCTTTGGCTCTTACAATATTTCTTCCTTCTATTTCACATAGGCCCTTATCCCTGAGGGAAGGAGTGTGAAGAACTCCCATTTAGGATTTAGTGTTCCAAGGTCTCTCACTTTTTGCACATTGTCCAGTTTTTGTTTTCTGTGTTAGTTTCCATCTACAGCAAGAGGACATTTCTCTGGTGCTGACTGAACAAGGGAATGATCTGTATCATTAGGAGTCATTTTTTTGTTATGTTCCTTTAGCATAAAAATGGTATTTGGTTTTCTCCTAGACCCATTACCTATTTTGTCACATCTTCTTGGCCAGCTGAGAACTATAAGGTGGGTTTCCATCTCATGGAGTGGGCCTTAAATCCAATCAGAGAGTGGTTACTCCCACTGTTTCTCCCACTATGGGCAGATCATAAATCATAGGGTTTGTAATTAGATTGTTGTTTACCTTTCTTCTCTGGTAGCACGCACTGTAACTTACAGCATCATGAACACTAGTTTGTAGTAGTGAAGACTCTAGTTAGGCACCAGCTCAACTTTTTAAATATTCAATGATATGTAAGTGCAATAGTCCAATCAATGGTTTCCATGGAAGACCTTTGGTCAATGACTAAACCATATATAACCTATTCTTGGCACTAGAGGTTTCACTTGATGGTGAAAGAACTAGACAGAGGGAAGTGATTTTACTCTCCTTCCTGACCTCCATTA